TAGTAGTAGTAGTAGTAGTAGTACTAGYAGTAGTAGTACTAGTACTACTAGTAGTAGTTATCCAGCAGTTAAAAGGGATGATGGTTGTCTCCTTCTTACTATTTTGCACATGTAGCTTGAGAGAGAGGAGACAGAAGGTCCATACTGAGTAGTCTTTGATGACTCCAGGCAGCACCACCAGCAAAAAGAGTATACCAGTCATTTTGATTGCAGGATCATCAGCAGCAGCTACAACAACAACAATTGGTTGTCATCCAGTAGCACCTCCACCACCAGCAAAGAAAGGGGGCACAAGAAGGGAGCTTCCAATTACACAGAAGCTGAGGTCACAAACATGATACATCCTCCTGAGGGAAATCCTTCCTATTGGAACATACCAATGGGAGCTTGTCGTTTTAAGATATGCTGAAACTTGGCCTGATGGTCCTAGTAGAAGAGATAGGGGATTGACTACTAGGAAGTAGTGGACTCTCCACAGGAAATTAATTTCTACTACTGGTGGGGACCTGAACATGCTCAAGACAGTCTGCCTTGCAAAGCAGACCAAGTACTTGATTGGGCAAAAGGCTGCTCTAGGAGATGGTGAGGAGGAGTACAAGGATCCAAGAATGATAGTGAGGATAACAATGATTTCAGCAACAAGGATGCCTTCCCCAACAATCCTCCCCTCCACCAGCTTTCTCAACTGACACAAGAACTTACTCAGGATGATCTATTGACCCCCATGCAAGGAGCCCCTGAAACTCTAACTGCTATTCCCCCCTCTGGAACTTTAGAAAGTCTTACTGTTCCTGCTAATGCAACTGCTTTGTCAGCATCCAGTCATCATCTTATTACTATCAGTAACAGCAAAAGCTTTTACTCAACAGGAACTTCTAGTTCTTCAACTGACAAAGCAAAATGCAGAGGATGATGATAGGTTAGAAAGAAGACTTTATATGGAGGCCAAAACCAAGAGATGGGACAAGATTGAGAGCATGCTTACCTCTATTGTTGGTTCATAGTATTTCAGTGGTTTGCAGAAGCAAAAGAAGCGCTTGTCTGACATTGTCCAGCAGTAGTACTAGCGCATCCAGTAGCTCCAGCAGCAAATTAAACAAGGACAAATCCCATGGTTAATAGTAGACTAGTTGATTAATTTTGGTTATCAAATTAGCTTACTAACAAAAAACACAGTAGCACTAATGCACGAGCTTCTTTCCTTTTATGATGGGGGAAGGGACTTTTTCATCAATCTTGTCGATGTCATTCTTTTTTGTTTGATTTTTCCCACAAGCTATTTTGCATTATTTGCTTCACAATGCATTGAGTGGCTGACAAAGAACTTATTCAATGGTCAACATGAATATTCATTGATGTATGCTAAGTAATGTTCAAAAGATTGTGTCCCACTTGCTCCAGAACCTGCAAGATTCATCAAACATACACAAGATATCCATCAATGATTGGTTGGATGCTGGATACTGAACACGATCTGTTGGATACTGAACATGACTCCTTGAGAGAGGGAAGGTATGCACAAGAATGGCAATCAAACTGGCAATAAAAAACAACACAACACTATCGTGAGAATGAAATACAAATAACAAGGTATGTCCATAGGTTTGTTTTGATCCTAATTAGTTTTAGCTTCCTCTTTGCTTCATAAGAACAAGCAAATTAGCTGATATTTGTCACTCTAATGAACTGAGATGCTTCACTGCAATGCACTAAGATCACAATTAACTCTCAACCATGGGACCCAAGAATCCAATGGATAGTACAGTAGTATTCTTGACGCCCAAATGTGCTGTTCCAACCTTTTTTGCCATGTTCTGGAATAACTACTGATAAGGCAGAAACACAGATCATAGAGCTATTAAATGCAATAACATACTAAAGACAGCAGGACCACATCCAGCTGGTGGCTCAAGACTTGTAGTAGTACGATGATGCTACTGTGCCTCACAATATTGAGTTCTTTTACTACTACTTGAGGGGTGGGACAACTACCATCACCAATTTATGGGTTAAGAACAATTCCCATCAATGAGAATGTATCCTATGATTTAGACCATAACAACCCAGCGATAGGTGCTGAGGTTTGGGATTCCAATCCCCACTTGGTCGCTGTTTCCAAAAGACTCCTAAGAGTGAAGTGCCGCCCTTTGGAGCGGCTAGTTGCATTATTCCCCTTGGGTGCAGGAATGGTTCTGGCCATATAGTGCCTCTTCTAATTCACAAAGTTAAGTACAGTATTAAGATTTAAGAATAATTCCTATCATACCACCAACCAGTTGGAAATCAGACAAAGGACTCCGCCAGGAGTGGAGAAGAAAGGAGAACCAAGAATAGAACAAAAGGAATTAGACTATAGTATTGGTGAACATAACTATCTAGTAGTAGAATAATACTAGCAGTAGCAGGCCCAAGTTTGAGCTTGCAACTGCTGGTGCTAGAAAGTACAATAAGGAACAACACTTCCCTCCATCCAACAAGCTTGTGGATTTGGAAACATAAGAGGCAGGAGTTTTTGGAAAGATACCTATCTACAGGCACAGTGGATGACAGAGCTTTCTCTATCTTGATTGAGATGGTTTGTTTGAGGATCCTGATAATCACTTTTCAAGGAAGCATGTCACCTGGCAAGATAGTAGTATTTTTCCAAAGGAGTAGATGAGGGAATAGACATTGGATATTTTAGCATCAGGCAACTTTTTCAAAGCAACAAATTCAAACAAGACACAGCAGTACCAAAGTGAATTAGTACTATTAGAGAAAAGAAGAATGACTTTTTACTACAACAAAAATTATAAGGTATACAAATTGTGGCAATAAGAGAATGCAGTCAACACCACTGACATCACTCATATTGACAATCTCATCGAAAACAAGATCTTGCTTATTGTAGCTATTGCAGACACACTTTGAAAACTTGGAAACAATATTTGCCTTTTCACCCACGGTCTTGAATTTGTCCCAAAATCTAAAAACAAGAATACTCTCGTCCTCTACATTAACTGGTCACACATTGGCATCAATGAAAGACTGCTATCTAAAGACGTGTACAACTTTGACAATTTCTCCCACATCCCTTTCCCTCCTCCAGTCAACCCGACCAACCAAAACCGTAATCACAATATGACTCAACCACCCGCTGTTGACCCCAATGGACCTTCTGTCTCCTCTCTCTCAAGCTACATGTGCAAAATAGTAAGAAGGCAACCATCATCCCTTTTAACTGCTGGATAACTACTACTACTACTACTACTACTACTACTACTACTACTACTACTACTACTACTACTACTACTACTACTACTACTACTACTACTACTAAACTTTTAATATCCCTCTCATCACTATAAACAATATCATGAGAATATATACTCTGGGTCTGTGAGTTGATAAGTGTAGAGGCTTGCATTTGTGATTGGATTCTCCATTTCTGACACCGGTGGTAGATTGAGCAGGCATTCATGT